TGTGATGCTTTGAGGATTCTGTTAACTGTGATGATGCCACAGCCCTCTATCCAGTGTGATGCCTGTGTCAAAAAAAAAAAAAAAAAAAAAAAGAAGTGAAGTAATTGTCCTCCTTCCCTTCCAAAATAATGAGGAAGGAAGGAAGGAAGGCTAGCTGGGCATTGTGGTCAGCACCTGTAATTCCAGCTACTCAGGAGGCTGAGGTAAGAGGATCTCTTGAGCCCAAGAGTTTGAGGTTGCTGCAAGCTATGACACCATAGTACTCTACCCACAGTGTCAGAGTGAGACTCTGTCTCAAAAAACAAAACAAAACAAAACAAAAACAAAACATACAACATGTACTTCTAAAATTTATTTTACTTATACTGTATTAAAACCCAGGTCTCTGGCTTCCCATGCCAGACAGCTGCTCTCTTATTCTGCCATTTGGGTTATTAAAAAATAAATCTGTTTTTTCCAAAGGTAATTTGTTTTTGTTTACCTCACATGGACATCAAGCTGCTTCAAAAATTGCCCATATTCTTCACGCAGAGCATCCTTTTCTTGCTGTACCCTAGTTAACTTCTCAGACAATTCCTGGTTGCTCTTGATATGCTGAAAAACATTTAAAAATAATGAGAATATACTGTGTTGGCAAAGGTATGATGTTGAAGAAATATAAATTAACAAAGCCTTTCTCCTGAAAAAGCCTTGTGACTGTACTCACCCCAGCTTCTGAGATTAGAGTAGCTTCATGAAATTCCTCTACTTCCAGATTTCCTAGAAGGCAGCAACTATTTTTCTTTACTTTTGCTCCCCTAGCCTTCCTAATAATTTTTCGAACTTTGATTGCCCTATATTAAAAATCTTCCAGCTTGCAGTACATAAAGTGAAAGCTGTTCTCCTGACTTAACCCTGACAAAGTATTTGGTTTTAAAAGTAGCTGCAGTGAACAGAAACTCAAAGTTGAGAATTTGGGATTGGTTGTCTGACCTGGTGAGATTGGAAGGTGGTATGATCTGGTCAGTAGTACTAGCAATCCATGGCAAACAAGTTGATTAAATTATCACTGATATTTGCCAGTAATGAAGTGCTTTGGAAGATCACACAACTGGCACAAAGAATGTTACAGTGAAAGGGAGAACTATAAGGATTGTGAGGTATGCTGGTCCATCTACCACATAAATGAATTTAGGAGAATATGTCCAACTTGGGGATTTAATTACTGTGCTGTCACAGTCAAGATCCCAAGATCAAGGCTGAGCAAGCCATATGGCACCATCTCCTGGGAGGACCAGGGAGCTACCCGACAGAAGATTTAGTGCAACAGACCCCTTTTATCATAGCTAGAAACTCAATTTGCCTTCAGTAGACTACATACTCAGCTTAAATCTGAGTTATGATGCTGGCTAGGTAACAACACTGCATAGATTTAAGGTGCTGTCTTTTTTCTTTTTTTAGAGACCCCTGTCTCTACTAAAACTACAAAAATTAGCCAGGTGCCTGGCTGGTAGGTGCCTGTAGTACCAGCTACTCAAGAGGCTGAGCCAGGAGGATCACTTGAAGACAGGAGTTAGAGGTTGCTGTGAGCTATGACACCACAGCACTCTACCCAGGATGAGTCTAAAAAAATGAACAAATATACAAACAATAACAAAAACAAAACCAGTTTGTTTTAACACTGCAGTCCCTCAGCCCTGGGACCACGGACCAGCACTGCAAACTGAGTGAGTGAGCAGGCAAAGCTTCACGAGTATTTATAGCCACTCCCCATTGTTGGCATCACACCTGCGCTCAGTCTCCTGTCCCATACCCTGGCTCTGCCTGTGGAAAAAATTGTCTTCCTTGAGATCGTTCCCTGGTGCCAAAAAGGTTTGGCAGACTGTACATGCAAACTTCTTCTCTAAGGGGCATGGATTTTTTTTGTGCTTTAAGATGTCAACTGATACCCTGTATCTTCTGAGAGTCAGTGAGGGCTTGGACCCTGTGTGAGACAAGTGGAATTTTTTTTTTTTTTGAGACAGAGTCCCACTCTGTTATCCTGGACCCTGGCATCATCATAGCACACAGCTACCTCAAACTCATGGGCTTAAGCTAACCCTCTTGCCTCAGCTTCCCGAGTAGCTGGGACTATGGCTCCTGCCACAATGCCCTGCTCATTTTTCTGTTTTTAGTAGAGACAGGGGTCTCATTCTTGCTCAGACTGGTCTTGAACTCCTGAGCTCAGGCAATCCACCTGCCTCAGCCTCCCCCAGAGTGCTAGGAGTATACCTGTGAGCCAGTAGAATTTTAATTGTTTCATTCTTAGTGCTATGGTGTGAACCTGGTCTTTTTGTACTGGTAAGCTGGGCTGGTTTCATGACCAAAGTTTTGTGATTCAGGCTGTGGAGTCCTTATATGCACACATGGATGTCTTTGTCTATTGTCTATGGTACCAAACTGGCTTATAAGTGAGTACTCATAAATTAGGTAAATAAGCCCAAATGTTTTTGAAGTTCACATGACTTTAACAATCTTTGGTAAATATAGTTTAAAGTTGTTAGTGAAACAAAATTAAAATGTCTTAAAAATGTAACCCACTACAACACCCAGCTATGTTTAGAGACAGGTCTCGCTCTTGCTCAGGCTGGCCTCAAACTCCTGAGCTCAAGCAATCCACCTGCCTCAGCCTCCTACAGTGCTGAAATGACTATGATTTTACAGTAACCAGTGATCCTTTTTTGTGTGTGTGTGACAAGTGGTTTAAACCTTTGAGATTTAGTCAGGTGTGGTAGCACAGGCTTATAGTCTCAGCTACTGTGGGAGGCTGAGGCAAAAGCATCATTTGAGCCCACAACTTTGAGGTTGCTATGTGCTATAATGCCACAGCACTCTACCCAGGGTGACAAAGTCAGACTTTGTGTCAAAAAATATAAATAAATTGGCTTGGCGCCTGTGGCTTAAGCGGCTAATGCGCCAGCCACATACACCTGAGTTGGTGGGTTCAAATCCAGCCCAGAGCCGCCAAACAACAATGACGGCTGCAAACAAAAAATAGCCAGGCTTGTGGCGGGTGCCTGTAGTCCCAGCTACTTAGGAGGTGGAGGCAGGAGGATTCTGTGAGCCCAGGAGTTGGAGGTTGTTATGAACTATGATGCCACAGCACTCTACCCAGAGGGACAGCTTGAGGCTCTGTCTCAAAAAAAAAAAAAAAA